TCAAGGACAGCAGTACCTGGGTCCAGGGTCCTCTGAATATGTGTTTTAAATGTTCCACTAGTGGGGATATGTAGATACCAGCCAACTATGAGGATGTGTTTACAGATAGTACATTAGAATAAAGAAGGCTGATTCATTGCTGATAATAGCATTTGGGTTGAGAATGAATTAAAAAACAGAAAAGCCAGATATTCCTTTATGGAGAACCCTAACCATGAATTTTCTTTTTAAATAAAGTTAATTTCTACACTGGTGAATCACCTTTTTTTTTCCTTTAATGGGAAAACAATACAGATTTCTTCCAACTGGTTGACCAGGTAGCTGTCTTGCTGGAAAATCTTGCTGAAGATTATTTTAAAAATGACTGGAGCAGTAACTGTGAGAAATTCAAGCTTTATTCAGAAGACACTATAGAATAAAGTATATCATTACTGATAGCAGATAGATCTTGGCTGAAAACAGAGAATACCAGAAAGTTGTTTACTTGTGTTTTAATGATTATGTGGATCATTTAATGACTATGTGGATCATAGAAAATTATGGTTAACATTCAGAAGAATGGGAATCCCAGAACTCTTAAACGTGCTTATACACAATGCCTGTGTAAACCAGGAAGCTCCTGTCCAAACAGAACAGGACACTGCATGGTATAAAATCAGGAAAAGTATGTGTCAGGGGCTGTATTCTTCCTCCATATCTATTCACTCTGTTGTTGAGCAAATCATTCTAGATGTTGGACATATGAAAAAGAATTTGGTATCAGGAATGGAGGAAGACTCTTCAACAACCTGCCTAATGGCACAGACTTACCTGATCTAAGCCAGCATCTGAAAGTTGGACAATAAATAAGGAAGAATGCTTTTGAATGATAATATTGGTGAAAAATATTGAAAACAGAATGGGTTGCCAAGAAGAATAAGCAGGTCTGTCTTGGAGGAAGTGTAATCAGAGTGCTTCTTAAAGACAGAGATAGTGACACTTCCTGTCATATAATTTGAGCATGTTTACAAGAGTGACTAGTCCTTGGATAAAGACAAAATATTAGGAAAAGTAGAAGGTCAGAAAAAGAGAACAAACCTCAAGGAGATTAATTAAAACAGTAACTGCAATAATGGGCTCAAACACTGGGAAAACAGCATGGATGGCATAGGATAGGGCAAGGTTCTAATGTGTTGTTCATAGTATTACTTTGAATCCTAGTCAACTGTACCACACCTAACAACCACAGCAGAAATGAGGATTGTGCAAACTGCACTGGCTATACTGGTGGAAACTCACTGCTAAGAGTGGAGTCTTGGAGGCTCTCTCTTTACATTGAGCCCTCTCTTGGGATGATGTGAAAGTCATTTAAAGCTTTTAATATTGCATAGCATCAGATGACCTCCTTATCTCTTGACTTAAAACTAGTTAGTAATCTAAATAGAATAGATATTTTAGGAATCAGCGCTTCCATGAGTGTCCTATTATTTAGCACCCTGCAGCACTCACTGAGTCCCATAGAAAACAATTTCTGCCAGGATGTCTGTGGATATCCTCAGCTAATATGATTGGCTTTAGGATTCTTTGGAAAAAGAGTCTGCTTTTTTTACTGAAAGCTTCTTTGTTCAAATTAAGCTTTTCTGTTGACTCAATGTGAAACATGTAGGTTTAAGCTGTTGACTTCATAAAAGTATTGACTTTAATAGATATGCTGGTGCTAGAGATTGCTGTATTTATACTAAAGTGACCCAAATTAAGAACTCTGGTGACATAGCAGGTTAAGCATTGGGTGGCTAACTGAAAGGTCAGTGGTCTACATCAGGTGCTAATGAAATTCTTGGGGATGTCTGTTGCCAGGGACCTTTCCAAAGGGCTAAAGAACAGTGATAACAGCCTAGAGACTAAGATGCACCTCATCCAGGTCTTTTCCAATTACTTGCTGTGCATCAGAGAGCAGGACAATGACTAAGGGTGACAGAAGAAGAATCCATCCCTTTGAGTTGTGGTGCTGGAGAAGAATACTGACCATGGACAGCCAGAATAACAAACAAGTCTGTCTTGGAGAGGGTGAAACCAAGTTTCTCCATGGAGGCAAGGATTGTGAAGCTCTGTCTTGCATATCTTGGACACCTGGCCAGGATGGACCAGTCCTTAGAGAAGGACATCATCCTTGAAAAGGTGAAAGGATACTGCAGAAGAATAAAACCTAGGATAAGATGGAGTGACACAGTAACTGGGGCAGAGGGGTTAGGTGTGTCAGAGTCAGTGAGACTGGCTCAGGATAGAGCAGGGTTCAACACTATTGTACATAGGGACACTGGGACATAACAGCAACAACAACATCAAATATGCTTGAATAAAAAAACTCGTGAGAACCAATATATCTAATCCAGGTTAGTTTTGTAGGTTTATATATGACCCTAACTTACTAAGAGGGAGCTCTGGTAGCCTAGTGACAAGGAGCTGTGCTGCAATCACAAATTCGTGTGGTTTGAGGCCACAAGCTGCTCTACAGGAGAAGGATGGGAATTCTCCTCCCATGTGATTACCTGCCTCTGAAAACCCACTGGAGGGTCACCTATGGGTCAGTTCCAACTGTATAGTGCACAACAACAAAAATAACAACTTACTAAGTTCTCATTTCTTTATTGTTTGGTTTTTTTAAATTTTTTTTTATTAGCTAGAATGTATTCACACTTTAGTATTTAATTTCCCGAATTACCAAAGGTTCTTGTTAGGTAAAGTCTGATTGATTACAGCTCTTACCTACCCCATGTACAACCTAACAGAGCACTACCTGGTCCTAAGTCCCATTCACACAGTCACTGCATTGTTTAAACCCACTGTTGCAGCCGCTGTTTTAGTCAGTTGTATGAGAATCTTCCTACTTTTCACTGATCTACTTAACCAAGCATGATATTTCTCTCTAGGTTCTGGTCCCTCCATAGCATCTTGAGTTAAAGCCCACCTCTTCTGAACAGATACATTGTTGATGAATTTTCTAGAGACCAATGTCTGGTCTCCTCTCTATAAGGAAGACTTACCTTCTCTTTCTGGACCCCCTAGAAACCTGTTTATTTCTGCATTGAAGCAAAAAGCCCTTCATTTCCTTTTTACTTAATAAAATTAGATCCTAATTCTTTCCATAAACTTAGATTGATGACTATAATGTTACTTCAGTCCTAGAGAAGGCAGAATAAGCCACATTCGTTGTTACACTAACATCTCTGAAATCAAATGCAAATAGACATGAAGCTTCTAACACTTCAGATAAAAACAATGACAGTCAGTCATAGGTAGCCGCTCACACAAGACTAACCTCCAGATTAGAGCTCCATCCGCATCATCTTGTTGGAAGCTAAGTATTTTCACAAAAGCGTTTAATCCTCTACTGGTTCTGACTGGGGCAGCCAATTGCAGAGAAAAATGAAATTTCACAGAGGCTTTTACAGGTCTGTGTTTCTCATCTTAGAAAAACTGAAAATGGCATCCTAGATTTTCAATGTTTCTTGTTCTTTAAGCACTCAGATTAGAGGGAATTTAGTGCCGGGTTTCTCAATTCCAGCACTTTAGGTTCCAAATACATATTTGTTGTTTGGAGGTGAGTGGTTGGATAGAAGAGTGTGTCTTGTGCATTGTTGAGAATTCAGCAGCATCTTTGGCCCTACTCCCTAGAAGCCAGTAATACTATCTGAGGTTTTAGAACCAAAAATGTCTCCAGATACTCACTGTCCTCCAGGCAGAGCAAAATCATCACTGACTGAGAAGCATAGATTTAAGGTAATTCCTTGAAAGTCTTTTTGAGTAAAGCTTTCAGTATGCTTTAGGGAAATCTTCTGTCAGGGACCTCTCCAAGGAGCTAAAGAACAATGATGTCAGTCTAGAGACTAAGATGTGCCAGACTCAGGCCATGGTCTTCACAAATACTTGCTATGCATCAGAGAGATGGGCAATGACTAAGGAAGACAGAAGTAGAATTGATGCCTTTGCGTTGTGGTGCTGAAGAAGAGTCTTACAAATGCCATGCATTACTAAGAGAACAAACAAGGCTGTCTTGGAGAGCGTGAAACCAAGCTGCTTCTTGGAGGCAAGGATTTTGAAGCTTCATCTCACATATTTCAGGCATGTTGCCAGGAGGGACAGTCGTTGGAGAAGGAAGTCATGCTTGTTAAGTGCTGATGGGGGACAGTGCAGGATTGGAAGACCTAGAATTAGGTGAATTGACACAGTAACTAGGTGCGTTGTGTTGCAGATAGTGAAACTGACTCAAGATCTGGCAGGGTTCAGAGCTATTGTATATTGATTCACTATGAGTTTCAGACAACTCAGTGGCATTTAATAACAACAAGCCAGAGAACAGATAACTACACAAACTATGGAGAAATGAGTGCAAAACTCAGCTGAATTTTCTATCTTCTTGTTAGGTGTAGCCGAGTCGCCAACGACTCATAGTGACCCTGTGAAGAACTGATAGGCACCTTTCCCTGTTGTGTTCCTTCTTTACCATCTGTCATATTTGAGCCCATTGTGGTCATCACTGTGTAATTCCATCTCCCCGAAGGTCCCTCTCTTTTGCTGACAACTTTAGCTCATTTTCCCCTTGGCTCATTGTCTTAAAATGGTGTACACTGAGCTGGGTGCACAGTTTTGTGTAATTGTGGGAACTACTGTCTTTGTCACTTGTGGTGAATTAATGATGGGAATATCTAAGCAGCCGTCAGATTCATAAATCACTGGAAATGAGAGGGATAACACATGAAAGTCTTTCTCTTTTGTTTAGCTATTTATCATTTCGCCTGCACATTAATAAACAGAGCTCCCCTGAGGTAAGTCCCTGGAAGATAAATATTTCTCTCTAATTTCCTCAATTGTCCCTAGTAGATCACAAGTGGGAGGAGAGGCATTTGCCACTGAGAGGCCCCAGCTCCTTATCCTTCACTTCTTTGGCACAGACAAGGAGCAATAAATAATAGAGAGAGTACAACGGGAGGTAATGAAGTTCTGTTTTGTTTATATAACAGGCTCAAGATTCCCCAGCCCCAGGCTGTCAGCAAGGCCAAGCCGGAAGCGTACCCTGTCCTTATCACCACTGTCCGATCATAGCTTTGACCTTCAGACCATGATAAGGACATCTCCCAACTCCTTGGTCACAATTCTCAATAATTCCCGTAGCAGCTCTTCAGCAAGTGGCTCCTATGGTCACTTATCGGCAAGTGCAATCAGGTATGTATTCTCCTGAATCCCCTATGTGTTTCTCTAATAAAACTTCAGCACTTGCTTGCACCTGTAGTGTATTGACTTTAAGGCAGAATAAAATAACCTGACATTGTTCCTGAATCAAGTTCAGTATCATAATGATAAACTGCAAAAACAATTATTGTAAATGAAGAAGAGCTTTTTTTCCATGGATAGGGACAAACTTTAATTGGTAGGCATTATACTTACACAGCAGTTGTTCATGTATAATAAAATCCATGTCTGAGAGGCCTTTTCTCTGTGAAGGAAAGCTGCCTTCAGACCTGGTAGCATGCCATTCAGTACAGACACAGAATAGGAGCAGAAAGAGAGAAAAAGTCCAGTCATCCTCTAAGTCTTGTCCCACTGCTCCTATCGCTAATAGGCAGGAAATATGAAAAAGAGAGATAACAGGGTTTTTTCCTAATGGAAGTAAATGCAGATGACATTGGAAGGCATCAGAAGAGGAAGGTATCAGAGGAAATCTGGCAAAAGATTGCTTTGTTGTCTTTAAAGTATTTTTAGCTTTTGAGAATCTCTATTTTGGCCATGTTCCTTTGCTGTTCAGTAAAACTATCTTGACACTTTCTTTTTTAAAAAAAAAATTTCTTTATTTTTCATTTCAATGAACATCTACAGAGATTTTGGAATTCCATTCATTCATTGTTGCACCCCTCTTCCCCCCCCACCCCGTTTGCTCCTCTCCTTCAAACGCAAAAGAAAAACTCCCTCATTGGTGCGCAATACCCCCCCCACATCCCCCAACACTTTCTTAAAGCAAGTTTGTTTGGTTTTTTTAATGTAAAGGTATTAACACAGACTTTTGTCTACATGCTTAATATAAAATGTCTCTGCTGATGACGAAACTTAGATTAATGTCAAAAAGAGGGTGTATAAGTAGGTCAATTTCAGAATTTTTGTTACTTATATTTATCTTATAATCTTTTCTTTTTAACATGAAACGTATCTCAGATTTGTGTGTCATCCTTGCACAGGGGCCATGTGTTGCTGAAGCTAGCACTTATAATAATTTTTAAAACTGAACTGATTAAATTACTATTTTAGATAAGGGCGCTCTGGTGGCCAGGTAGTAAGGAGCTATTTTTGCCAACCCAAAACCACACAGTTTGAGTTCACCAGCTGCTCCACTGGTGAAAGATAGGCAATCAATTTCTGTGCAGTTTACTGCCTCTAAAAACCCACTAGAAAGTCAACCAGAGTTGATTCCAACTTGATGTCACATAAAAACAATAAAATAGTTATTCTAAATAATAGATTTAGGTAGTATCTTAATTACCTGGGATAGATGAAGTTTTAATCTGTTCTTCATAGGGTTGCTATGAGTCATTGTTAACTTGTAACACCTAAAAGTTAAGCAACTGTAGTGATAAAAGGTAGCAGTCATTGTCTTTAAATTATCACCAACAATTTAAGATTTTATTTATAAGCAATCTTTATTATTGCAAATTGCTCTTGGAGCCTTTAAAGAGCATATAAAAGGCGATTTTTTTCACTACTTTTTTTTTTTCAAGTTTACCTAAATGGTCAGTGGTTTTATTTACTAATTGATGAGTGGGACGTTCATATTAATGAAAAACTCCAATGGTCCAGAAAATGAAAGTGGCAGTAATAATAAATACCATTGTTCTTTTCCTTCAGTTTCTCCATTAAAATTTCTTTCTCTTGTTTAATGATTAGTGATTACCTTTAGTCTTCAAATATACCAATAATTTTTTATATGATGTCATTTCCTGTCACTTTTGGCTCTTAAATGGTTACTAAAGTGTTTAACCACTGCTGAATCAAATAACTCTACTCACAGGATAGCATTTGATATACAGCAAGGGGTCTTCTTAAATATTAGCTACTACAGTCAGATTCCTCCACATAAAGTCCAGCCTCGCAAATGCTCTGTTCCACATAGATATTGATGGAACAGATAAGGACAGGATGCATCTGTGATCCACTCCTTTTCTGATTTTGAACCATACAGTATTTTTCTCCTCTGTTCTGACGGCTACTTCTTGGTCCAAGTACAGGTTTCATATGAGCACAATGGATTTTGAAGGAGGCTGGATTTTATGAGGAGTGACATCAGAATTGGAGGAAGATTGATCAACAACCTACATTATGCAAATGACACAACTTTGCTTGCCAAAAGTGAAGAGGGCCTGAAGCATTTAAGGACTATATAGTCTGCAGTATAGTTTGAAGCTCAACATAAGAATATAAAAATTCTCCATTGGGCCAATTGGCAGCACCATAATAGATAGAGATTGAGATTATAAATGTCAGTTTACTTGGTTCCACAATAAACATTCTTGGAAATCAAAAGGAGTCAGTATATCAAAAAAGTGAATTGCTTAGAAAAATCTGCTGTCCAGAGTGCTGAAGAGCAGTAATGTCAGTCAAGAGACTGAGGTGTACCTGATTCAGACCATTGGGCCATAGTCTTTGCAGTTACTTGCTATGCATCAGAGAGTTGGACAGTGACCAAGGATGGCAGAAGAATTGTTGCATTTGAATTGTGGCATCAGTGAAGAGTAGAGGACATACCATGAACTGCAAACAGAACAAACAAGTTTGTCTTTGAGAGGATGAAACCAAGCTTCTCCTTAAAGGCAAGGATTTTGAGGCTCTTTTTTCACGTATTTTGGGCACATGGGAAGGAAGGACTTGTCCTTTTAGAAGAACGTCATGCTTGGAAGGATGGAGGCTTAGAGCAGGAGAGGAAAACCCAGGATGAGATGGATGCCATAGCAACTGCAGCAATGAGGGTAGGTGTGTCAGAGGCAATGTGATTGGCTCAGGACAGAGCAGGATTCAGAGCTGTTGTGCATAGGGTCACTACATTTTTGGAGTCAACGCGACAGCACATAACAACAACAGTAGTAAAATTCCAGGGGATTTGGTGGCTTGGTGGTCAGGAATTGCACTGCCAACCAAAGGTAAAAGGTTCAAATCTGCAAGCTGCTCTACAGGAGAAAGATGGGCAGTCTTTTCCCATCCTGTTTCCTGCCTCTGAAAACTTAATGAAAGATCTGCTATAGGTACACTTGACAGTACACAACAACAATAGTAAGATTTCTGATGGTTCAAGTGAGTGATTATTGCATTTACTCCACTGATTGATTACTGGTAATCAATTGATTGGTAGCTTGAACCACCCAGTAGGACTGCAGAAGAAAAGACCTGTCTTTGAAAAGCCTCCGGAACACTTCTATTGCATACACATTTGGTCTCCTTGAATCAGAGTCAAATTGATGGCACAAGATGACAACAGCTGGCTTTGGAGTTGGACTGTCATCATGTTCCATCATCCAGCTGTGCAAGCCCCACTTACTCTTTGACTGTCTAAAGTTCAGTACCACAGTTGTGAAATATAGGCAATACCATTCTTTGCCATTGTATAGGAGAGAACAGTGTTTGATACCTTGGCATGAATCTGCAATAGCAGGGTGATAGTTCCAACCTACAAGCAATATTTTTTGAGAAATGGCCTTGGAATGTCCACTCACATAAAAATATCCCAGGTGCCTAGCCTTGCTATGGTGTCACCCAAATCTGGCTTGGAAGAATACAAATCTATCTGCCTTGGACTCTTCATAGATTAATATCTGTAGAGTCTTAAACATTTATTGCATTTCAATTGGCTGAAATTATGAATTATCAAACTTACGGAAGTATGGATGGGAAGACACAAACCATGATCCTACCATGATACTTGATGAAGGTCCTTTCTTGAGCATTCCTTCATTTTCCTTCAGTGTGCTTCCTTCCTGACTACCCTGACGTTTTACAGATTCTAAAAAGCCTGTGATGTTTTTTCAGTACTTGAGAAACTATATCATGACTTTCAGTGCTCATGATGTCTTATTTTTGCCACCAAGGAACTGTGACACACTCCTTTCTTTATATTAGACTCAGAAGAAGAGCTTCACTTTAAAGACCAATGGGGTCTTCAGAGGTCCTGATATAATCTAGTGACTCAGGTCCATGATTTCTGTTTTTTCCTTTGCCTTTGGCTCCTTTCCATCACATCTTTCCCTGTGGTCTCCTGTGCCTGTATGCACACCCACTGAATGTTGGAGAATTTGTATCTTTGATGTTTAGAGGTAATACATATAGCCCCAAGATAAGGTCAGTTTGACATATGATAATGATAATTGTTATTACAGGACTCATTTACCAGCTTTTTGTATGAACAGGTGTTAGTGCTTTGCATTCTGTAGTTAAAATTTCATTTTATAAAATTGAAATACTGACTGGATAAATAATCAGTAAATGATAGAACAAATGTATGAATGAGGAAAGGGAAAGAGGTGAAAATAAATCTGAAAAAAAAATAAGGGGGAGTGTGAACTTGAGCTTAGCTTGAGTTAGTTTCTATTATGTAGTAAGCGTTGGTGGTTCTGTGGTAGCAAGCTTCCCTTTCCATGTGGGAGACTCAGGCTCCAATCCTGGGCGGTTCACCTCAAGCAGAGCCACCAGTTATACACCCATGAAAGCTCATGTTTTGTTAACAATACTTAACCGGTAAGAGTGGAGCTTTTAAACTAAGTTGGACTAAACAGAAATTGCTTCTGATAATGTACCTCTGAAAGCCAGTCAGTGAAAACTTGGTAAGTAGTCCAAGTGCTAATCCATGGACATGATGCAGGGCTGAGTATCATCCCATTCACTTGTACATGGGACCAGCAGCTGACAACAGCAAAAAACATTGCCAGTGAAAATAGGTAATGATATTGTTTATGCACTGAATGCAGTTTCTAGAAATTTAAAGTCATCCACTCCTTTTCCTTAAAAATGCCCCACAATTACCTTCGCAGTTCTGTCCCTGTAAAATGGTGGTGATGGTGATGGGAGTCATAGTAATAGTAAATCTCCTCGAACCTGTCTCACTTCAGTAGAGATAAGGCAAGTTCCATCCATCCATAGCAGATCTCCCTTTGAGGTGGAAGTTAGGAGTAAACCCTTTTTCCAGCCTT